GGGGGGGGGGGGGGGGGGGGGGGGGGGGGGGTGTAGAAATGCTCCTAGTCATGGGATAAGCTCTGGCTGTATGGGCCACTTGGCTTGTATGCAGATTTTAGCTTTTTTACCTTACAACCACACTCATAATGTACATGTAGCTCTTACAAGACCCATTTATTTTCCTTGACTTGGGTGTAAAAGTTAAAATTTAAAACTAAGCAATAGCCAGTTGAACAAACTGCTTAGTTTTGTCCATAAAGGTTAAGGAAAATTGAACGGCTGTGGGGACAATTATGTCTGCCTGGTTTGACCATCTAATTGAAAGTTTTTTGTATTATAAAGAAATTCAGTTCAAATAGTTTTGCCCACCTGTGAAAACCAGTTGTCCTCCTGCTGAAAACATTAATGAAACCCCTGCCAGGGAGCTTCCTACAAAAGTGAAAAAAATAATAGTTCATAATAGTGGAAGTAGTTTTACTACTGTACTGGGAACAACATCCCACAGAAATGTATGTACCTACATGAAGAGTTGCATGGAAAAAGACCCTAAGTTACTTCTGATAGACTGCAAGATTATCCTAGCAAATTAGTTTCTGCATCTTTCTACAAAAAGGAGAATTTGGCACAAGATCAAGAGTCACTTGGGGCTTGTTTTTAACTGATTTGAAAGTGAAAAATATGCTGCAGTATAATCACTATAATCATTCGTTTCAGGCCATACACTTTTATTTGATAACAGTAGTAATTCAACAGAAAATTGTAAAAGATTTTTTTCTGTGTTTTGGCTGTTCCATTTTCATACACATTACCCGCACTGCTCTTACATTTTGTCAGCAAAAAAGTGATCTAAGCAAAACTAAATAATGATTGTCATCTCATAGAAAATGTTGCTTTTCTTTTCATTTTCCAGCATCCTTGGTAGGTGGTACTAGCTACTGGCACTGTGATTTACTTCCAGTTGAGGATGATCATGGAAAAATTCAAAAACTTGTCAAGTTTTTCCAAGAAAAAAAATGGGTAAGTAATATTTTCAGGGTTTGTATGGAGATTTGGGAATCTGGAAAAGCATGGAAATCTTAAGACAAGTTTAGCAGAACTGGAAAAGATTATAAAAATGAAATTATATAGACGTCCAGAGACATTACTCTGGGGTTACCAATTGCAACTGCTCAATATTTTAAGCTCAGTGGTTTAATTATTGAGGATAAAACAAGAAAACATGACATTTGAAAGGAAATTCAGTAATTACTACTCAAAATGTTAGGTTTGCTACCAATATTTTGATATCAGAGGAACCATATCATTATTCTCCAACTACTGAAACGTGAGGGTTATGTCTTGTGTTGATGTATATGATGGTAAAATATAACATTCAATTTAAGGTAATTCCCCATTATTGCATTGCACATCCCTACTGTGCATAATTTCACACATGATTAGCATACACATTAAAAAATGGCAGATTTTTCTTTATGGCTGGACCTCGCCATAGAGGTAAATCGTCATTTTCTCGCAAACTAGTATGGTGACCTATCATTTTTTCTGTTGTTTTGAACTGAGTAATAAATTTCTCTGTGTAAAATAAATATGGACCAATTCTCAGTGTAGAACAAAAAACAGTCGTTGGAAAGATGAATTTAGCAAGCAATCGTGACTACAATCATGGTGCTTATAAGGATTTTTTGGGTCTAAACAAGGTGCTGTTGCTCCTAAACGAACATAGGGCCCCCTCATTTTTATTTCGAAATTTAAGTTCCTATGATATAAACAATCAATTGGCAAAGTTTCACAAAAATCTCAGTGCAGGTGCTATTTCAGTGGAATGACCTCAAGAAATAGCAATGATTTTTGACCAATCAGCGTGCATATTTTCTAAATACACATTGTGAACCAATAAGTGATAGACGTTACTCAGAATGCAAGTGCATATAATGCAATGTATGTGACTCTGGTTGGGAGAAGTTCGAAATTTTTATCTCTACAAGCTTTTGTCAGTAGTTACTTAACAAAGAATCTACCAGAAGGACGTGTAACAAATGGACAAAAACTTTATACCGAGTTTATTTACATTGTATTACAAATTTCTGTGCAACGGTTTTAAATATATTCTCAAAAGAAATCATTGCTAGCAATAGAGAGTTTAAGCATGATGTTTATGGCAGATGGCAAACGGCAAAAATTACCTCTAATTTTTTATTCTTTTCCTGTAATCCTTAAATAAATCACACGGAAATAGAAAAATGTCTTCTACTATTCACCGCAAATACAAATATTTTCACTCTACTCTACAGACAGCTGAAGACAGACGGCAAAAGTTTCATTTTTGCCATTTGCCGTTTGACGTAATGTCATGCTTAATCTCTCTAATACCAAATGTCAAAAACAAATTTTGAAATTCATGTAAAACACATTCAAGTACTGGTGAAATAAAACTGATGATAAAATTTTACCTGTGTTTGCACAATTTCTCTGAGCTTTGAAATTTATTTTCTCAAGTTCCCCTGCGAAATTCTTTTTGGTGTTACTTCAAGCAACTATTAATATCTTCAGGTTTTGGAAAATGCAAAAAGAACAGTAATATACTTTAAATTATTCTGGTACAAGGTTTTGTCCCTTTAAAAACTGAAATTGTTTGATTTCCTATCAGATTTCGTCTTAATTTCTTTTTCTGGTCTATTGTGTTTTAGGCTGGAATTGTGAAATGTCCTGATGCAAACAGAGTGATATTTCTAATTCCTACCTCTCAAATCACATTGGACCTGGGTGAGTACATAGTTTATAAGTGATTCTTATGCAATCCAGTGAAAGCTTTACTTGAAGGTTTGATGCCAATGTACAAATTCTCCCTACTCCTGATCTGCCTGCTTCTGATCATTAATCTTGACTGTAATGACGGTGGTTGTGTTTCTCCAACTGACTTGCATGTTTATGTGTCACTGCTAGTATTCCTTTTGTGATAAAATTTCCTTATTAATGTAGGGTTAGTATTAGTAGATCAGCCTTAGTTACATTGAGTAAATGCAATTTAACAGAGTTAACAACAAAGAGCGCAAGTCTTACCAGTAGAATTTAGGTATGCACATGTGCCAGGATTCCATGTGTTCTTGGACCATAGGGCATTGTAGCAGTTTTGCTTTAGTCAACATTTTCCTAACTATGGAGACTCTTCCCAGAGGCTGTTTCCCCTCCCCTATCCCTCCCTCTCTTTCTACTGTTTTATCAGTGTGACGGGTTGCCTGTTTTGTCCCTTCTGTGTGGGGGCTCATTGCTGGGTTGCCAAGATGTCCCAGCTATGGGAGTGGTCTCTGTCTAGGAGCTAGTTGGCAATAGTGGAAGCTCCTGGATGTCTTCAGTACTCATCCTCCACTTTGCGAGGCAGTTGTCAACATACAATAAGAGCTATAACATTAATTTTGTTATGCAGGAATCACTGCAGTAGATTCACCTGCAACACTTCATGTTCTCCTCTATGTGAAGAACCAGAAAAGTAACAAAGGTGAGGGTTTGATCCAAAAGTCATTTCCTGTTCCTTTTTCGGGAGAAAAAAATGTTGCTGGGCAGCTTGCCATAGAAAAATATAGAATCATGCGGTAAAAATATGTATTTTCTTGTGTGTATTGTTTTTTCCAGTCCCTTTGATTTGGGTAAGTCAAATTTTGGGGCTTTCAGGCTTGGAAACCAAAATTTGTCATTACCCTTTAGATCAGTGCTTAAAACTTGTACCAAAGAATATACAATTTGTACTCAAGTTGGTAAGTATTGCTTGCCATGCCTGCTTTCTGGGAGCATGTCACCAGATGGTGCTCTGTGTCTTGTTGTATGACTTGTACAAATAGACCATTTTCATATTCTCAGCTTTGGACCGGAACTAGCTTGCAACTGAGACTAATGTGAGAGTCTTTTCAAATGTAAATGACTTTTATCTCTTTTCAATGATATTCCCCCACATGTGCCTTTATTGCAAGCTAGTCACAGTCCAATATTGAGAATACGAATGTGGCCTATTGATTTTGTGCAGAGAAAGCTGGAATAGCAGTAACTGCTTACTCTACAGAGAAAGAAAAATCAGTATTCTGCCTTGAACATGAAGATAATGGGACCACAAAGAAAACCCTCGCCTGATAGAAGATTGAATTTTTTTTAATTTCTAACATCATGCTCAGTTTATTATACTATGTGTGATCAAGTGTAAAAGCAACAAGTTTTGTTGAATATAGCTATTTTGGCTCTTAATTTGGTTGGTGTCCATTTTGTTTTTAAGGTAGTGAAATCAATAAGGCAGTAACAAGTGGTTCAGTAAGGGAGAAAGACTCGCGAGATGTAAACAAAATTCAAAAGGAACTGAAAAGACAGTTAAGTCATCAGGTTGAAGTCAAGGAGAAGCCTACTGAACATAGAAGACTTAGTCTGGATTCTGCAAGGCCAGCAGTTGCGTCAGCTTCTAGTAGCAAGGATCCTCGGGATGTTCCTGAATTTGCTTTGCAATCAAACGAGCAAGCGGTGCAGTGGAAGAGTGCAGTTGAAAATTGGCTCAGCAGGCCACATCCTTTAGGAGGTACAGAAGCAGATTTGCAAAAGGCAGTAGCTAGCAGTGGTAATGTTTTGAAAATGGCTCACTTGTCATCTTCTGTAGCACATGTTCCAAAGCCAAGAGTACCCATGGCAGAAACACCACTTAACATTCCTTTTCAAGCTGTGCATGTAAGATCTAGTGGTAGCACAGAGCAATATAGAGTGATTTCTGGACAGCAAGATGCAAGTGCAAAATCCAGTGTTAGTGCCAAAGAGTACAGGGTGATTTCTGGAAGGCAAGATGGGGATGCAAGATTTAGTGTTAGCACAGAAGAACACAAAGTGATTTCTGGGCAACAAGATGGGCATGCAAGACTTGCTGGAAATGCAGAACAGCACAGATTGTTTGTAGGAGAGCACAGTGATATAATAGCAAGGCAGGTGAAAGAGGACAATGTTATCAAGAAAGATGCCAAACCATCTGTCACACCTGTAATAATACGAAAAGAAGAACACAGAGAAGATCCGCGGTTAAAGATAAGGCGTTCTCTTGATGAGCAACTAAACACAGGGCTAAAATCACCAAATATGCCACAGGTTAGTCATGGTACTCCATACAATGCAGAAGAAGCTTTGCAAGCACAGGGTGTCAAACTGGAATCTACCTCCATTGCACCAGTAATGACATCAACAACACCATCTACTCTACAAATGAAATATCAAGTAGATGATAAATCCATAAGGGAGCTGTTAGACAAAATAAATGTACAAAAAACGGAAGAATCAACCTATAAAGTAGCACTTGACGATGGCACAAGGAGAGCTCTGGAAGTGATGAAGCAGCAAGGGGCAAAGAAGAGTAAATCAGAGTTGCCAGAAACTGAAATGATTGTGATGGATGCAAACACTGATGGTAAGTTGGACACTGAAGTATGCACAAGAGATGACAAGCCTGTCAAGAGAAGTAGCACAAATGGTACTGCAGCAGAGGATAATGTGAAGAGAATTAAAATCAATAATGTCAATCCAGTACGTGATAACATGTCAACTGTCAAAGGAGTAGCGCCAACACCGTTATCCAGAGAAGAACTGGCAAAGCATGGTGAAAAAGGTAAAGGAATTAGGCAGCCTCACAGACAAAGATCTGAAAAGAAACCACAAAAAAATTCCAATGTGAAGGAACCCAGAAACCCAAATGATTCTTCTACTGGCCAAGAACCAACAAAGCCAGTTGTGGAGACCACAGTGCCAGAATTGTTAGAGGCTCCTTTTCCCAAAATTTTGTCTCCTGAGAGTTTGAAAAGCCCACCAACTTCTGTTTTGATGTCCAAAGCACCCAAGGTGAAGTTGATTCTAAGGAGCAAAGACTCTAAAGATGTTGATGCACAGTCACGTGGTAACAGTAGGAACTCCTCTGAAGGTGCTCTGGCAAAGCAGACCAATGCAGCAGAGGATGAACAAAAAGGTGATTTGGAGAGAGACAGAAAGTTGATTGATTCACCAGTGTCCATGGATATAAGTCCCCAGTCTACCACACCAAGTTTGCCAGAATCAGTTAGCCCTATAACTGTAGTATCCTCAAAAGGGCGATACCAAATGCCAGTACCACCTACTGCAACTCCGACAACCCTGGTGCATTCTGCACAGTCATATTCAGCACCAGTGTCTTCATCCTTTCCATTTAGTCCACCTCTTCCTGAAGGTCCATATAGGAGCACAATTTTACCACCGCCAAGACCTCCCCCTCTAGGCCAGCAACCAGTTCATCCCATGCCATTTGTTCCTCCATTGCCAACTGCATCTTCAAGTGTTACCACTCCATCTCTGCCTGGTGCCCCACCTTCATTAAAAAGTCCTACAGTATCCTCTGCACCATCTGGTGGATCTTTGTCTTGCAATCCTTCCTTTCAAGATGCCTCCTCTTTTGTGCCACATTCTGCTGTTCCAGCAAGTTCTGTCTCTCCAGCCGCTTCTGTACCACCTACCATAGGGGCCTTTGCTGGTGGTCCATCATATCCACCCCCACCATCTACACATCCTGTGAGTGTCCAAAGAAAAAGCAGTATAGATGCATTGCCCAGTCCTGCATCCTCATCTGCTGGACAATTTCCTACAACATTTCCTGGTCAACAGTGGACAGGTGCTCTTCCACACAGTCAGGGATTTGTATTTCCAACCAGTGCGGCTCATCCTCCAGTACCACCAACTGAAGTGCTGCGGTGGCCCACAAGACCAGGCCTCCCACGGCCGGTTCTCCCCCCAACACCTGGGAGACCGCTTCATGTTTTCCCACAACAGTTAGCAGGTCCTCCACAAACTACACCCTTTCAAAGGTCACCGGGTGAGATTCCTGTTCGACAGCCACAAGGGGGAGGATTTGTGCCAATTAGAGTTCCAAGATTTCATACACCACCTGTGCCACCTATAAGAACAGCACAAATAACATCAGTACGTCCCATGTTTGGTGCAGTGCCTGTGCCACCTCAATTCCGGCCACACCTTACTTATCAACATCCACCTCCTATTGGATACTGGCTCGCTCCTTTAAAGCCACCAGCTGGGCATAGTGGAAAAACAGTGGGTCATGTGGGTCGTATGCCCTCTCACTCACCAGCCCAGAAACATTCAAAGGAGTTACAACAAACATCTCCATCATTGTCTAAGAAAAATAAAGACCCCAGTGTTGAAAAAGCACAGAATGAAAACCGAGAACAGAACAAGGAAAATTCCAACGATGCTGGCTCAGAAGGTCCTAAAAGCAATGTGTCTGTTCAGAAGGGGGATGACAAAGAAAAGTCAAATGCTCAGTTAGAGAAGCAGAGAGAAGTTGCTGTAAGCAAGGTAGAAGTGACTGATGTTGATACTACAAAGGAGGACAAGGTGGTAACAGCCACCAGCAATGACAAGAAAGCAACAGCCAGCACAGATAAAGAGAGTAAAAGTGAAGCTGTTGAGGAATCTGTTGTTGGTAGTGCAAAGCAGCTTAGTAGAGACACAGATGAGGTAAAAGTCCAAGATTCAGAGACACTGAGTTTTGATCAGACTCTGCCCCAAGAGCCACTGAAACCATCAAGTAAATGTGAATTAGCTTCTGATTCATCTGCCGATAAAGAAAATCAAATTCCGGAAGGACAACCAGGAGAGTCCAACAGGGATGATTCGACAGAACAAAGAAGTAAAAGTTTGCAAGGAAGTGATGTTGCTGATAGTGTTTCAAGTAAAGTATGCATTGAAGTTGAGGAGCCTAGTGAAATGGCTGCCAATGAATTTAAAGATTCCAGTTCTCAATTTACACCAGAGCTCTCCAGCAACTTTGGTGAGGAGCACATTGATGTTTCAGGCAGTGGCAACATTGCAGAGGTTGTTGACATCGACTGTCTGCCCACAATGACTTATCAAACTGAGGCAGAACGCAAGGGATTCAAAGCCAGAAGTAAAATTTATGACATTCTCAGACAAAATGCCCAACAGACGAGATCTGAAACAGATTCAGCTGACCAGGAAGAGGTTGAGGACTTAGATGACCCTGACAATCCAGATCCCTGCGCAATGGAGGAGGATCTCAATGCTGATGATGAAGGTGGGGACAGAATGAAGTTAGAGAGTTATGGAGGCAGAGAGAGAAACCAGCCAGCTAGAGGGTGCTGTCATGCATGTACTAGGCAGAACAATGTTTTGTTACATTTGCAAACTTTCAAGTGTTCATTGGGCAGTTAATTAGTATAGGTGATAATGACTGCTAGCACAATCAGGGATTTACACTATGAGCGATAATTGCTTAAGCTTGGGTCAGTGCAATTTGAAATAATTTTAAAATACTTATTACAAATATCGTAAATCTTAAATTATTTAAGATTTCATACAATTAGTCATTCATTTTGCGACTGAGAAAGTGATAAACATATAAGTATTATTTTGTGTTGCTGTGCAAATTAAATACAAACAATAAATTGGCCTGCTCTCAGCCAATCACAATGAAGTATTTTTCTCAATCATGTAATGATAATAAAAAGAATAATCAATTAGTTTGACAAGGTTACTGATGGTCACAGTCCCTGCCTGAAGAAAGATGATTTGGGCACCGGTGTCTTGCTGTGGTGATTCTTTCTGGTTTGCCCTCTTCTGCAGGACACATTTTTACTGGAATTTAAGAAGAGAGTTTAGTGGGTTTCAATTGTATGTACAAAACATTTCAAGTGTTTATGGTTCAAGTGTCCTTTCTACTTTACAAACATTTTAGTTGGTAATGTTAGACTTACCTAGCTTGTAAAAATAAAATTAATGCTGGAAGGCTGTCACAGAATAGATTTACGATCTTGTTTATTTTGACTTCTGATTTACTTTACCTCAAGGTATCGCAGAGGAGGAAAAATTGTTATTCAGTGGAGAGGAGAGCACTGCAGGTGAACAGGCAGTCCATTTGGATAGTGGATTGCGTGTTGTCCAGCTTCTCGAGCTTGATAGAATCCATGACAAGGACAAGGAAGGAGACTGTGAAGAGTCTGCAGCCTTGGGTTCAAATGTAGAACATGAAAATGGACAACCTCAAGAGGAACTTCCAAGTCAACTGCCCTCTCATGAGAAACAACAAGAAATGTTACCTAGGGACAGTGAATTTGAAGACATCAGTGATGTGTCAGATGAAGGGACACCTGAAAGAGACCTTCCTGGTAAGTAGCCTTTACATTGGATTTAAGTCTGCAGTGATAGGCATCCATCCTGTGGAATTATCTACTATTATAAAAGTAACTTTCTGATAGACTTCATTAATGTGGGCTATCCTTGACTTCACCTAATAGAGGCATTAATAAATGGAAACCAAAGTAGTGTTTTGACACAAATCAGGTAAAAGTGTGTTGCTATTGTGGTGAGACATATAAACTTCAGTTCTAATAAAAGTTTGATTTTGATTTGATTTTGATTTGATTTTGATCAGTTGCCTTTTTGGTGCAAACATTTAAAAACAACAACAACAGAAAACAGCACATGAAAGCTAGTACTTCGTGAATGTTCTGTTTGAACTATCATATACTAGGATTCTATCCAGAGAACCTTGTACAACAAGAAGCTGGAAGTACCGCTCTAGAGCATTCATTCGAACCAGCCTGCATTAAAGTTTCATCCACACTGTACTTAAAAGGTAGAATCACACTGAATTAGGTTTCAAAGGGTTGATATTATTAACCAGAGCTTCATTCTGTTTTTTTTTTTCCCCTTTTGTTCCTCCAGGGTTTGGCTCTGTGGATATAGAACAGTTGTGGTCATCTAACGCAGTGGATACTTCTGTACCAGAATCAGAGGCAGCTCCCATAGATACTGTTCACAGCACTGTACCAGTATTAGAGGCAGCTCCTGTGGGTACTCTTGACAGAAATGTACCAGTATCGGAGACTGCTCCCGTGGATACTGCTGACAGTACAGTATCTGAGGCTGCTCCAGAGCTACTTCCCAAGGAAGTGTCCAAACCAAAGGCTGAAGTTGTACATAATGAGGCAGATAGCTCAAGCTCTACGACAAAGAAGCATGACATGCGCAAAAGGCACATAACTGTTCAGTCGCAGAAGAGGAAAAGATGGGACAGTACCAGTGAAGACACTGATGCTAACAAATATTCCTCCTCATCAAAAAGAAGTAAAAGGAATACACATAGGAGAAGCAGCCGCAGGAAATCTCCTGATCGACGCGAAACTGTGAGCAGTTCAAGGAAAGGTGAAAGGGCTAGACGGACATCTGAGTCCAGTGTGGCAAAATCTGACACCCCTTCACGCCGCATTGTTAGTGGTGTTAAAGGTGGATCCCTGCAGATTACCATTTTACGAGGTCAGCAAAGTTTGTGGTTGATTATCTTATTTGCGGACAAGGGGGGTGGAAAATTGTTATACTTCTTAAGATATTCAAAGAAAGAATGACAACAACCTACCCGAAAATAATAAAATTTGATTGCTTTATTAGTTTACTTGTTCAACTGCCCAGAAAACTAATATTAGCTTCTTTCTTTACACGTGTGTATAATGTATGTGTTTGCTCCCTCTTTTGGTATTTTTTATTTTTGTTTCTTTTGGCACCAAAATGGTTGTGAAAAGATCTTATTAGGAATGTTCTGTGATTGATTACCCCTGGAGCAATATTTTGACACTATTTTCATTGATGCACACATGGTCTGCAATGTTGTTGTCACTAATCACATTGCTCAGCTACATTATAAATAGTGCTATTTATGGGTATAAACCCATTTCGGTCAGAGTTAAAAGACACTTCTGTTTTGTTGATGTGGTTATTGGAGAACAGAAATCAGTCTTGTCCAAATGATATGTTGTATATTTGGGGTTGGGTTGATGTTGATATATTTTGAAAAAGCCGTGCAACGTAAACGGAAATGTGGAGCATAGCTCAAGTACATGGCACAAGTGGAGAAATTCCACTGTGCAATTTAATAATGTGAGCATTATTTTCCTTTCTTTAGACACTAAATCTCAAGAAATGCAAGTGAAAGAAGAAGAAGCAATCTTACGTGAAACACAAAAAATTGAAGAAGTGAGTACTGCAAAACGAAATAGAAAAATTGCTTGAATAAATAGAAAAAATTAATAAAAACTGATTTAGATTAAACCCATTTTTTCATCAAAAACAAAGAGAAATCCATTAGCTGACGTGGAGTACAGTGACCTCGAAGACATCAGTCCAGGGAGACTCAGTTCAGACGACGAAAGTCCAGCCACCCCACCCACCCCAGAGACGGCAATTCCAGCCATGGACTTCACTCATCCAAGCCTGGGATTCTGGGCTGCACCACTTAAAACAAACGAACCAACTGTGAGTGGCTCTGCTGTTGTTGAAGAGCACCAGGTGTCTGGTAAAGAAATCTTGGCCCCACTAACTCATTCATCTCATCTGGAAGAGTGTCCTGTTGATATTGAACCAAGTCAAGTGCGATATCCCCTGGGAGAAGTAAAATTCTATGAGGACGAACCATTTATTGGGCAGTCATCTTGGCCAGGTTAGTTTACGTCTAATTCTGATTTAGTAGTCTTAAAATAGGAATACTCCATGCAAAACTACAAATGTACATTTGCAAAAAAGGGACAATGTGATTTGAACAAAGCTAGCCAAATTAACAGATATCACAACTTTGCTTTTAGTCCAAATGTTTGGCAGAAATAAATGTATAGTTGATAAAATAAAAATTACCCTCTAAATCACCCCACCCCCCACTAAATAAGCCCCCCCCCCCCCCCCAAAAAGTTCAATAACTGCTTAACTAGGATATTTTGTAACTAACTCCATGGGAGTTTATTTGAGGAAATACAGTATGTTCATCTTTGATCTTTTTTTTTGGTATTATCTTTAGCTGAAGGCTTCTTCTGCCAAACTACGACCTCTGAAGAACGTGACTTGGTGAGTCAAAGAGTGGAGAAAGACCCCTTTCTGCTAGATGACAGTGTTGGTCACTATCTCTCACGTTCCTCACAAGAGAGTGAGGAGGACATTACAAGGTATGTTAATTTTAAAAGAGCTACATCACAGTTTGCGCGTCTTGAGAAGTTTAGCCTAAATTTTTCAATAGTCTGACTCTACAACTTTGTCATTCCTAATCCGTCTCAATCTTCTCCATTCTTACCCATCCTTTTTCCTTAGTGGGTTATTATTAGCTCTTTGGTGTTTTTCCATCTTAGTGAACTATCATTTTCAGGTTCCCTTCAATTTAAAGGTAATTTTGTCCAGGGCTAAAATATCTCAAAATACCTTGGCTAAGCTCCTTTAATTTTCTCAAGTACTGCCTCACCCCGTTTTTTGTTCCCTCAAAGGTACACTCAAGAGTTTCCTCAGTCTGAAGTGTTCGAGTATGGACATGGGGTAAGAGATCATTTGCAAGCACAGGAAAAGCTATATAGGAGCAGTGGCCATGCGCAGTCCAGAGGAATTCAGAAGGTAGAATAATTTTTTTTATTATTGTCATACAACCATATGTTGGGTATGCCTCATCAAGATCATTTCAATCAACTTTTGATCAATGTTCGTCACTTTTTTAAGAAAAAGTAAACATGAAAGTGAAGAATGATCATCGCGGTAAATTTTCCAATATAAGCAATTGGAAAGAAGAAGCCCGAAAAAATCAGGGCTTCAACGGGATACGAACCCGTGACCTCCGCGATACCGGTGCGAGCATCGCACCGGTATCGCGGAGGTCACGGGTTCGAATCCCGTTGAAGCCCTGATTTTTTCAGGCTTCTTCTTTCCAATTGCTTATATTGGAAAATTTAGTGCGATGATCACTCTTCACTTTCATCTACAACCGCAGTTCATATGAATTATTTCATATAAACTTCACATCAAAAAGTAAACATGTTCCTTGTTTGTATCGAGTTAAAGAAACATGAGTGGTAGTTTGGGAGAACGAGAAGTGCTGTGGGAACACGATCCGAGAGGCAAGTGTTTCCGCAGCTCTTTTTCGACTTCTCCCAAATTTTCATGAATGTTTCTATTAAACAATTAGATTATGAGCTCGAGATTTCTATCGCGTGCTAGTTGACTAGGGCACAGCCCGAGTCAACTACACGCAAAGAAATCGAGAGCGAATAATCTAATTGTTTTGTATAAATCTACTAGTCATTCAAAACTTTATCTAAATCCTCTTCACAGACACTTCGAAAGCGCCATGAAGTGGCCACTATTTTGTTAACAAGGGTACACTGCTACCCTACTCACTAGCTATCACAATAGATTGTGAGTAGCAAAGCCAATCAGAGAACGGCATTCGTGATAGAACGCTAGTAGATTTATACTAGAAACACGGAGAACTTCAACATGTTCTCTATTTCCTTTAGATAACACAATAATGAAAAAAGAAAACAGTGTCTTTACTTTGATCATCAAAATGTGAATTGTTTCTCTTTGCTCGCATCAACATTACGTCAACAGCTCATGCTAGTTCGGTGTTTCTGTTGAGTTATACAAACGCGATTTTTAACCAATCAGGGTGCATATTTTCTTTAGGCTATTTCCTAACTGTGAATAGCATATGACTATCCACGTATTGGTGCTGTCACAGTAAACAACATCGAAAGTAAATCATGAAAGATGGTAAATTTTGAGCGAATGATAAAGAGAATTTTTTTTCCTTGTACGTGCACGAGACAAGGGAAAAAAAATCTAAGGCCTGACAGAATTCCCAGCTTCCAATAGTGCTTGCAAAATGCGTTCTTAAAATAGCCGAGATGCTTGTGTTTTTGATGAGAGGATGTAAACACGGTTGTGACATTTAAGATTCGCGTGTATTCTTGAGAAATACTTTATAAAAGCAATAGAGTAGTTTTCCCGTGGTTACATAGCCTCATCCTGGGGAGTTAGAAGAATTCTCAAAGTTTATGCAAACCCTCTACTGCATCTTGGCCTGCATGTCGAGGGTATCTAAAGTTGTTGTTGATGATGATAACTGTCTCAAATTCTCCGATCCCCCTCCTGTTTTAGATGAGGCTATGTAAACACTGAGAAAGTGCTCTATTGCTTAAATGATATCGCACATTTCTTTATTAATATTTTTCCTGCAGGAAGTCAAGCACCGCTCAACAAACCGAGAAACCAGATATCCTTGGAAGACTCGCGAAGAAAGCAAACATAGTCAGGTGCCATCAGCAGGCGGAGAAGGCAGGTGTTGTATTAACTTGGCTAGAGATACATCTTAGTCAGCTCTCTGCAGTGCTGCTCTCACAACATAAACTGCCAACTCATTTCTCTGTTTTTTGTTTATGACATGTGCTTTTCCTTTCTGTCAGCTTACAAGCTTCAGCTATTTAATTGTTCCCTAACTAACATGGCAATTGTTATTGTGTATGAAGTTTTGTGAATGCGTTTTTGTTGGAGATGGTGGCACACTGTGAGCAGTTGACACTGATGTGTTTGTATCCTTGGTTAAGAGTACTTATTGTTGCTAAACAATCCTTTGCTAGTGGAAAATATTACAGTGGAACCCCACCTTACGGCCACTCTGTTAATACGACCACCTCGTTATTACAGCCATTTTATTCTGGCCCAATCAAAAAGCTCAGCCAGTCATTTTCTTATTTTAGGTCCGTTGGTGACTGGATAACGGGGTTCCACTCTATTTATCATCAGTAAAGCTCCATGAGACATTACAACATCGAAGTATCTGTCTTGAGTGAAACTGATGTTCAAATTTTCCTAGTGTGTTTTTCTGCCGGTAACTGCTAATAAGAAACATTTAAACATAGTTAACACCATCTGCCCATAGTGCTTGTCATGGGAAAATAACCGGATGGATAGTAGTCGTCTCTGAAAATTGTACGAAAGACGCAATTTGTGTATTAAGTACATTTGGCTTTGACGCCTTTCATCTAAAAAAGTTGAAAATAATTCAATATGATTTTTGAACTGGCCCGCGGAAGAAAATTTATTGATGAGCAATAACGACATTAGAGTGTTTATGTCTAGGAGCTATCGGTCTGATGGTTGCGTCTTGAAAATGTGATTTTCTTAAAACTAGCATATTTTCCTGAGAGTCTTCAAGCATCACATTTCTGTGGAGCAACTATCAGGCGATAGTTCTTCGACAGAAACATTCTATTGTTTAAATATTGCAAAGAAAGTGGGAGAGCTGTAAGTTATTTTAATTTCTGGTTATTTGGCCGTTGTCATAGGACTCACGTCAGCAAGTCAAAGCGCTACTGGAAAAAATATTGGCTGTGATGAGGAATCTTCCAAGCACGCTGCAAAAAGGAACAAAGTCGTTAAAGAAGCACATAGCACCAGTGGCAATGAACCGGTCGGAGATGATATGAGGGATTGGAAAATCTATGTTTTTGCGTGTATGAAAAAACCTCAATTTGAAAACTGGATTCGAAGAAAGAACTTCGCGGCTAAATTAGCTGGAAAGTGCAGTGTTGTTCTTACTCCAGAGCAGGTCAGGCGGTCTTCAGAGCGTTGGTACCGTCGAGTTAAGAAACAATTGAGGCGAACAAGTCACAGCTCTAAGCCACAAACAGAGGACTTGGAAACATCGGACTGTCTTGAGTTTGATTTTGATGACATGGATGTTGAGAGCAATTGCGTTAAAGTTCCTTCCGGAAACAAGGAGCAGAGTTGTAGTTCTGTTTCAAAGGAGTTACAACAGTGTGAGAGTGTTAATAATGACAATATTGAGAGATGTACTGTACATAGCACGCGTATGGAGCACCACGCATCGCCTGGCACAGAGAGGAGTGAAGTTGTACATAGGCTCGTAAATTTTAATTCAGTTGATGATTGCAATTATGGCACCATTGATATTGATAAGAAGGATGACCTGATGTGTGATAAAGAGGTTTCAATTATTTTAAAACAAGATGACATGGATGATGTATCTACCAGCAACGTTGTAAACGATGATGCAAACAGTTCTGTCCTTGGTAGTGTGACAAGTAAATCGGCAGGAAAGAATATCCCTGTCAAAGCAGAGCAGCCATGTGATGATCTTGTAGAAGATCAAGTGACCCTGTGCGAGGGGGATGACGTGAGAACAAGCCCAACAAGTGAAGCGAAGGTTGGTTGTAACAAGCAGCAGGATGACGCGAAAGAGAGTCCTGTGGCAGAGGTGTTAGAGGAAAGCACAGGTCTCCACTCAGATGGTGAAGGTAACGGAGGTAAAGTTATAGATGGAGAAAATGAAGGCGTACTTGGTCCTGGTTTTGGAGAGGTCATTGATGGGCAAGGTGGATCATCTCAAGAACAAGGTGTCGCTGCTGATTTTAAGTCAGTGAGGGAAGCAGAGGTGATTCAAGTTACACAACACGACCAGGGTATGGAGGGAACACCAAAGGAAGTAACGGACGCATCGCTGTTGCATACCAAGGACACTGTTGCTGAAGATGCTAAGATGGATGTGACTGGAAGCTCGCAAGCAGGAGTTTTGAAAGAGACAGCTGAAGTCAATGATGACCAAGAGAGCTGTCAAGATCCTGCAAGTGTTGCAAGACAAGGCATCCAAGATGTGGAAAATGCCCTTGTCCACACAGATAGTCGTGATGCTAAAGATACAAAGTATTCTTTGGAAGACGACTCAGTTGGAGAAGGGAACAAAGTAGAATCTCAAATGGGTACTGACGACACAGAAGACAAACCTCCATTTACTGCAACAGCAGAGCCTCAAACTAACATTGATGGAAACTTTGATAAAGCCACTGTTGTGTTGGAACAAGACAAGACTGATAGCGTTGATTCGGGGGAGACAAATACTACTATGACTAACAGATCTCTCATGATGTCATCTGCGGTCAGGAGTTTTGCTGAACTCAGTGAACCACAGAGTGGCTCGTTAACTACTATTGTGTCCACGCCAAATCAGCCAAAGGTGGTAAACTTACCAGCTCTGCAGAGGCCTTCTTTAAATGCGGTGACTACACCCATTGTTCCTGTCACATCTTGCTTTTCACCCTTTCAACCTTTTCAACAGAATCTTGTGTGGCCAGTTGTAAGACACACTAGTCCCTTTACCACTGCAGGGATTGTTCCAGTTCCAGTTCCAGTTCCAGTCTATGCTCCTACACATCCACCAGGTAATTATGGATTTGACCCTTCTTGGGTAGACCACCCACTGCATGCACCCATCCCAGTTGGGTGTGTTCGCTCGCATTCGACGTATGAAGACATTTGTCCTCCTGGCACTGAAAAAATCTCTCTGGAACCAAGCAGTGACTCAGCAGATCTTGTACCAGGGCCAGAGACGCAAGAAGAAGAAACAAGTAACACCATGGATGACAAGCAGCTGCCTGGAAGCGTTATGGATAATTCAGTAGTAACTGCTCTAATGCAGTTTTACTCTGAAATTGAAGAGGTAGAAGATAGTGAGAGAAATGGTGTCAAAGGAGCTGATGATACTATTGAAACAAATTTTGTACGTAGTCTCCCAAAGCCTGTGGAAGAATCAACGCAGACGAAAAGTAGCAAAAGCCATGAGACAACAAGTGACATGGAGGTTGAATCTGACCGTGAAGACGGTGATAAAGATGTTTCTGAAGATGTAGAAACGTCAGGAACTGGAGGCGTTGCTAACCCGGGTCGTAAGAGGGCTGAAAGTCTTAATAGAGCAGGCAAATTCGAAGGCAAAAACGGGGAGGCAGAGTTCACTGAAACATCGACCAAGCAAAGCCAATCAGCAGGTGGTATGGTTTGTTCTAAAGTGAATATAACTCTGGTGGAGAATCGAGTGAACAGAACAGAAGTAGAGAATCCTATGATGATGAATCTGGAAACCACTAACAATGAAACACAAGCAAAGAATCCTAAAGTTGAAACTGAAAGAGCACAGGTTATTAATACTGGTTTTACTGGGGACAGAACTCGGATGGAGTATCCTAACGTTACTATGAATGAATCGCTGGTAGACAATCCAGACAACTCTATGGATATAACACTTTCAGCGAAACTTGATACTGATGAAACAGTGGCAGAGAATGGAACACTGGTGGAGAATGCAAATGCTGCTATTGACAAAACAAAGGCGGAGAAGGCTAATGATCCTATTGAAACAATACTGGCTAAGGAACCTGATGATGCTACGAATGAAACTCCGGTAGATAGTCAGGATATTGCTGTGGATGGAACACAGATGGAAGATCCTTACATTGCCGCGGGTGGAACACATGCAGAGGAACCTCCTAGTAAATCAATACTGGCTGAGGAACCTGATGTTGTTATGAATGAAACTCTGGTGGATAGTCTTGATATCGCTGTGGATGGAACACAGATTGAAGAACCTTGCATTGTCTCGGATGGAACACACGCAGAGGACCCTGATGATGCCATCATAGGAGGCTTGAAAGAGGAGCATCGCGAAACACATGCAGAGGAACCTGCTGATGCCATCATGGAGGGCTTGGAGGAGGCCCATCGTGGAACACATGCAGAGGGACCTGATGAGGCCATTATGGGAGGCTTGGAAGAGGAGCATCGTGGAACACTTGCAGAGGAACCTGCTGATGCCATTATGGAGGGCGTGGAGGAGGCGCATCGTGGAACACATGCAGAGGGACCTGATGAGGCCATTATGGAGGACTTGGAAGAGGAGCATTCATTGAGCCCCATTGATCCACTCTTCATGGCAAATGCTGAGCAAACAATCTTCAGCTCCATAGGTGATCTGACAAACTTGTTAGGACAATCATCAACGTTTGATCGTATTGCAGAGGAAGCCATTGCTTCGACTGTGTCATCCCTAGAGGATGTCCTTCGTCAAGCACATAGCAGCTACCTGTACCATGAGTCCAGCAGCTGCCCATCTGACAGTGGTGTGTCCGTGGGGGAGGAAGTTTCAGTTCCTTCAAGATCATTCAGCAATATTCCCATGTCCACGATTTCTCCACAGGATGGTGATGCAAGCAAAATAGGTTCTGTGCCTGGGTGGAGTGTATCGAGCTGCTTGAGTGCAGGTATGCAACCCCGGGTGGTTACTGCAACAGATGCTAGAGCAAATGACAGGAATGGGACAACTTCTTACATCAATACAGGTTTGTCTATCACCTAGATGTTTGGTTAACTTACTTTTGGGACCAGCTTTGACATCCATCTTAGAAAATTGTGCCACCAGGGTTTGTCATATGAATCTTTCGGGAAGCAACCCACCTGTTAGTCACTGCCCTATACTGTTTTTTTTTCCTAAGCTTGCCGACATTTTAACTAACAACAGCAATTGCTGTAACCTTATAGCTAATGGAATTATTTTAACTTTTACGGTGTTATCTTGTACATAAGCTAACATAGGATCTCTCATAGTCAATGAGTTTTTATCATTTTCCTCTAAATGTTTACATTTTATAAGTACCGTATGTCAATTAGTGTTGCTATTTTACTAGTGTCCCCAATTAAACACACAGACACTTAAATGAAGGTTGTACTTACTTAGCTGCTCGTCGCTGCTTGTCATAAATTTAGTAACTTCTCTTCTTTACCAACAGAGAAACTTCCCGCACAGAAGAAGATTAAAAAACCAGCTGGCCACAGGAAGTTCTACTTCTATGTGTATTCACCTGAACATGACAGAGAATGTGAAGCAGTCAAGGTAACTCTTATGACTTCTCGTTCAAATGAGGCGACGTCCACACTACGCCGGGGAAATTTGAAAACGCAGCTTTATTTTTACGGTTAGGCCTACCGTCCACACTAATCCGTCACGAAAACGGAGCTTTTCGAAAACGCTCTTTAAACTGGAGCTATATTTCAACTTTATTTCTAGTTCTATTTCTATTGTGGACAGAGAACATTTTGAAAACAGAGCTTTTCGAAAACAATGAGATCGCGATCATCTTCTGATTTCCCTGCGCGAGTTTTCCTCAAGCACAAATCCAAAATGAGCGGATTGCATAAAAACGGAGCTTTACGAAAACGGTGGCGTCGCGATGACAATGTGATTCCCCTGTCCGAGTGTCCTCAAACACAAAATCCAAAATAGCCGGTGATTGTTGCGTTTTTAAATTCTTCGGCGTAGCGTGGACGGAAAACATTTGATTGGTTTTCCTCGACATAGTGTTGATGGGGTCTAAGATCGTGTTGTTCCATAGAATGAGAAGCAAATATTAACAGACCATGAACATTACCAGTATCTTTTAAAGTATAGTAGGAATGCATAGAGTATAAGGAAGAACTTGCACAAGGAACTTCTACCCAAACAAAGAGAAAAAAATTAAAACCTTTTTGTAATTCTCAAAGAATATGTTCGAGTTATGTAAATATAATGGAATCTGGTAAGTTCTAGGAAGTTATTATTATGAATTTCATGATTAATAACAGGACAAACGCATGAAAAACTGACATGAATTTGTTTTTTTACAATAACAGAAAGGCAGAAGGGACAAAATTAAGTCAAAACGCGAGAAATTCACGTGTCTGTCCGCTTATTGATGATGAAAATTAGTCAATGAGCGCGCGAGAATTTCTGCAGTTGTTATAAAAACAACTTTTGTAAATGGTGTGGCGAGACAATGGTCTTAGTTTGGATGTTGGATTGAGAGCAGCTCTAATTATTTGTGTTTTGACAAGTGGCATCTCAGAAATAGCTTTCTTTTTCTTAGTGATATCATGAATCAAGGATTTTTGACCACTAACTGCCTTTTGTGTTTGTTTGTCTGTTTGCTTTTTCAAGAACTACATGTTAAAAGCAGGAGGAACATTTGTTGACGTTAAGGACTCTGCGTGTTTGGAGGAGAATTCCCGAGAGCTGAAAGTGTTCATCAGACGAAAACACTTACCAGCTGTTCACAGGTAAACAAGCAAACAGACAGACAGACGAACAAAAAACCAAGCAAGCAAACAAACAAACAAATAAACAAACAAACGAAGATTAGTTGACTGGCTAGTATTTCTTGATCACTTTGTGAAGAAACTCCGTCTTAGGTTAGTTTCTCAACATTGAGGCAGATTGTATATTCCCCAGTACATCTGCTTAACTTGAAATTCAGATCCTAGTTTGTGAACCAGATACAAGTGAACGTATTTGAAACCAAACACAATCCATTACCTTTTGGAGAGCAGGGATGGCACAGTGGTGAGAGTGCTTGCCTCCCACCAATGTGGCCTGGGTTCGATTCCAGCCCGGTGCCATATGTGGGTTGAGTTTGTTGTTGGTTTTCGCCTTGCTTCGAGTGTTTTTCTCCGGGTTCTCCGGATTTCTCCATCCAGCTAAGGCTGATATGACTTACTCTCTAAATTATGTATTTTTTAAAAACAAGGACATCAATGTGATTGAATCCCAAGCATCGATAAACAGTGACTTCACCTTTGTGTTTCATATCCGAAGAAGAAGCTCCAATTTTGATTACGAAAATTGTTTGCCAGCTNCGAGGAGAAATTGGCTTTCAAAAACATCAAAATTTCTGTGTGGCAAAAGCGCTAATGAGCTCATACATTCTTTGTAACATTTTGAGCTTTTAAACCCTCGTCGCACAAAAAGTATTCAATACATCGCGCTTAAATTCCTTGGGACAGTTAATCGTGCTGTGCCCTTTCAATATTCAGTATTAAGCTCTTTGTAGCTCCATCAGAAACTGTATCGCTTATGGTAATGAGGCAAATATTGTAAACAAAGATTCTCCTATAGGTAGACAAATACACGAGTTTATAATTTATGCAATGTTGTTATTGTTAGAAACAAATTGACGTCAGTTTTTTCACGCGTCTGTCCTGTCATGTACAATGAATTTCGTCATACATTGTTGGAGTAGTTTGCGGACCCACAGCTGCTTTGACCATGTTATGACGAAATTCATGATCGATAATAGGACAGACGTATGAAAAACTGGCGTCAATTTGTTAAATACAAGTCGCCTTTTCCATGCAAAAACGAAGCAAACGTCGAAAGCTCTGACTGCCAAGTTATCGGATTTTAACCATTCTTTAGATTCCAGTATTCTAGTCAATATTCTTCAGCGCACCATTAAATTGAATTATGATTTTTGTTTTATATGACTGTTATAGGATTTATTAAAAGATAGCAACATTTTGCTTGAAATGTTTCTCTCATTGCAGATGTGATCGAGGGAAGTCGCTTCTATGAGAACATCTTTGTCTCTGGCGGTGCTTTGCTTACTGATGACAGTATTCTGAAGACCATTGAACTTGGTAATAAAATATGTTGTGGCGTACAATTCGTAGAAATAAAGCAGCGTTCTGATTGGTAGTGTCTTGGTCATAATCATAGTCCGGTTAAAAATTCCATGCTATCAGCTTTGTGAGGGGACATCGAAATTGCCTGAGACTGAACGTACTTGCACTTTGGGTGCGAATATTTTTGTGGTACTCTCAAGGATCTGTGGTTAAAAAAAAAAAATGATTCTGGTTTTACACCGAGAATTGCAAGATCTAGGCTCTCTTTCTTTTCTAGCCTGATTTGTAATTCATTTTGGGTCCTTTTTTTGTCAATACTTTATACGCTTGTAGGATTACGTCTGGGTGGACAGAGACTAACTTCGTTTAGACCCTGTGAATACTTAATGATCCTCTCAAGGGGCTCCTTTTGCGAATTGATCTTGCTTTCATAGGGGGGCAGGGAGGAGTGGAGCAGAGAGGAGGGGGCGGGGAGAAGGTGGGGCGAGGTTACATTTCTCCTTGCTCAAACCTCGGCTTGTAAGTCATTGTCGGTCATTCTCATCTTCGTATTCTCCACAGATCATCTTGATGCTCTGTTGCGCTACCTGAAGGAACAAAGCTTGGCTCATCAGAAGTTTGTCTGGGTTTTGAACATCAGTAGAAATGGCTACAAGAAGCTTTCATTGAACAGGTCAGTGATGATTTCAAGTGAAGTATCACCGCTTTTTAGGATTCTTTTCATCGTGTTCGTATACTCATTTACTGTTTTCTTTCTATGATCTGTAAAGGCCTCAAACCAAGAGAGATTCTAAGGTTCTGGTAAGTTACACCTTTACTTGTCGTTGGTTTTGTCACAGCCGCTGACCCTTGAAGTGCATGAACGCTAAGGAAAAACTGCTTCCTTGTCTAGCCACTTGCTTGTTTTGTATGGTAAAGGATCAGATCCCTGTTTCGCATTTGATATTAAGCGCCACGTTATTTTACCCGGTATGTAAATATACCTTAATGTAAAAATTTAGACCTCGAGATTTTGCTGGCGACCACTTTGATGTTTCAATCAAAAGACTCTCATAAATAAATTGTGTTGATTATTACAATGCAGTTCAAGCACTTCTGTTAATCTAGCCACATCTTCCAGGGTTCGTAAAGATTGAACAGTACAGTAGATTACTATAAGAAAAAACAAATAGTGCAAGGGAGAATATCGCATTTAAAACACTCCTTAAGTTCGAGATTTTCGCACCAAAAGCAGGGCTAACCTCGACATTGAATAGTTTACTAGAGAGAAGGAGAGATCCTTTATTACAATTTCTTTATGTGTGTTTACAATCGTTGAATATCACTAAGCTGGTCGACTGTCTAAGCCTTACTCGTTTTTCAACGGAGTAATGAAAAAGAGACAAATTCCTAATTTCAGTTTTCAATTCAGTTAGTATAACAAGATGTAGCCAGAGAATAATTAGATGTTCAATGTGCTTTTTTTCTTCAGAATCTTATCCGTCAGTACAGGGAGGAGGGCTTCGTCACAGTTCTTCAAAAGGTGAGAATATTATAACTACTTGGAGTGCAAATTTGAGTTAATTTAAATCCACTACGAAGTTTTCGATTTCTGATGTGCCGGAGTTTTAGGGTCGGTGATCATCGGCTATCTTCGAGTGATCCTCGTTAATCTTCGTCATTCTTCGGGTGCTCTTCGGTACTGTTCGAGTGGGTGCCGGAAGTTGTAAGATTTGATTGACCCACGGTTTTTGGCTAAGATATTGTTACGAAACACGGCATATCTATAACTTATTTTAACGCCAGCGTGACTGACGAATTCTTTTTCTAATCAGGGTTATGTAGCTGAAGGCATGCCTGCTGCTCAGCGATATCTGCAGACTTCACTCAAGCTCCAGATTGATTTGATCTCCGTCTACAGACACGTGATCCTTCTGTCAGGTGCGTCACCAGACTCTCTCCTCTTGTTAGAGTGCAGTGTTTTGATTTTAAGAGTGATTTGAGATGCTGTTCACTTTCGTGTAGACGGAAAACATTTTGAAAACGGAGCTTTTCGAAAACGATGACGATGACGATGACGATAATCATGTGATTTCTTTGACCAAGGTTTCCTCAAACACAAATCCAAATGAGCGGTAATTGCTGTGTTTTTAAATTTCTACGGAGTAGTGTGGACGGAAAACATTTGCTGCGTTTTCAGTGTGAAACCTCAGTCCTCAAATTCCTCCGGCGTAGTGTGGGCGGGGTCTTAGTTGAACGGTATTGGATAAAATTAGGACTCTTTATCATCAACATGTAAATTCTAACGTTAGGGCCGTTGGGAAAAGAAGGAACTCTAAGTCCTCAACGGGTTTTCACGTTAAGTTCGGATTCGTGTGAAACTTGTTGAAACGTAGAGTTCCTTTACAAAATTGCTTTCTATTCAGTTTGCCCCATTAGCGCAAGAAATATTTAAATCGCCGCGTGATTCATTAAGGCCTTGAATTGTTTTTCTTATTAACAGATATGGACAAGAACAGAATGGAATTGCCATGGTTCTTGGAACGTGGGGTAGGTTGGATCTTAGTCCCTTACTCGAAAGATGTATTCTACTTACTGAATACCTTACATTCTCTTCAATGTCAGTTCTGAGAATTTAGAACTACATCAAGACTGCATCCCTTAGTTGATGATTTTCTTTATTCTCATCACCTTTTCCTTTACAATATAGAGAAACTGCAACGAGAATTTGGATTTTGGTCGTA